TTTGTACCTCTGGTAGAATTCAGCTGTAAATTCTTCTGGTCCTGGGCTTCTCTTGATTGGTAGGCTATCTATTACTCCTTCAATATCAGAACTTATTATTGGTCTCTTCAGGGATTCAATTTCTTCCTGGTTCAATCTTGGGTGAGTGTGTGTGTCCAGGAATTTATTCATTTTATCTAGATTTTCTAGTTTATATGCATAGAGGTGTTTATAGTATTCTCTGATGGCTGTTTGTATTTCTGTGGGGTCAGTGGTGATAACCTCCTTATCATTTCTGATTTCTTTGATTCTTCTCGTTTTTCTTCTTTATTAGTCTAGCTAGTGACATATCTATTTTATTACTTTTTTCAACAAACAGGCTCCTGGATTTGTTGATTTTTGAATTTTGAGGGTTTCTGTCTCCATCAGTTCAGCTCTGATCTCAGTTATTTATTGTCTTTTGCAAGGTTTGGGATTTGTTTGCTCTTGATCCTCTTGTTCTTTTAGTTCTGATGTTAGTTGTTAACTTGAGACCTTTCTAGTTTTTTAATGTGGGCCTTTAGTGCTATAAATTTCCCTCTTAGCATTGCTTTAGCTGCATCCCAGAGATTCTGGTACATTGGCTCTTTATTCTCATTAGTTTCAAAGAATTTCTTGATTTCTGCCTTAAGTTGATTGTTTACCCAAGAGTCATTCAGGAGTAGGTTGTTCAATTTCCATGTAGTTACATAGTTTTGAGTGAATTTCTTAATCTTGTATTCTAATTTGATTGCATTGTGGTCTGACAGACTGTTTGTTATGACTTCAGTTCTTTTGCATTTGCTGAGGAGTGTTTTACTTCCAATTATTGATAAATTTTAGAGTAAGTGCAATGTGGAGATGAGAAGAATGTATATTCTGTTGTTTTGGGTGGAGAGTTCTGTAGATATCTATCAGGTCCACTTGATCCAGAGCTGAGTTCAGGTTCTGAGTATCTTTGTTAATTTTCTTCCTTGATGATCTGTCTAATAATGTCAGTGGGGTGTTAAAGTCAACCACTATTTTTGTGTGAAAGTCTAAGTCTTTTTGTAGGTCACTAAGAACTTGCTTTATGAATTTGGGTGCTCATGTATTGGGTGCATATAGATTTAGGATAGCTAGTTCTTGTTGAATTGAATGCTTTACCATTATGTAATGTCCTTATTTGTCTTTTTTTCTTTTTCTTTTTTTTTAATCTTTGTTGGTTTAAAGTCTCTTTTGTCGGAAGCAAGGATTGCAATCCCTGCTTTTCTCTGTTTTCCATTTGGTAAACTTTCTTCCATACCTTTATTCTGAGCCTATGTGTTTATTTGCATGTGAGATGAGTCTCTTGAAGACAACATACCAATGGGTCTTGCCTCATTATCCAGCTTACGATTCTGTGTCTTTTAATTGGGACATTTTGCCTATTTACATTTAAGCTTTGTATTGTTATATGTGAATTTGACCCTGTCATCGTGATGCTAGCTAGTTATTTTACAGACTTGTTTATGTGGTTGCTTCATAGTGTCACTGGTCTGTGTACTTCAGTGTGCTTTTGTAATGACTGGTAACAGTTTTTGCTTTCCATATTTAGTGCTTCCTTCAGGAGCTCTTACAACGCAGGCCTGGTAGTGATGAATTCCCCCAGCATTTGCTTGTCCAAAGCAGATTTTATACTTCCTTTTCTTATAAAGCTTAGTTTGACCAGATATAAAATTCTGGGTTGGAAATACTTTTTTAAAGAATGTTGAATATTGGCCCCTAATATCTTCTGACTTGTAGAATTTCTTCTGAGAAGTCCACTGTTAGTCTGATGGGCTTCCCTTTGTAGATGACCTGGCATTTCTCTGGCTGCTCTTAATATTTTTTCTTTCATTTTGACCTTAGAGAATCTGATAATTATGCATCTTGGGGTTGATCTTCTCAAGGAATAACTTACTTGAGCTCTCTGCAGGTCCAGAATTTGAATGTTGGTCTGTCTTGCTAGGTTGAAGTAGTTCTGAATGATATCCTGAAGTATATTTTCCAATTTGGTTCCATCCTACTCATCTCGTTCAGGTACCCCAATCCATTGTAGGTACAGTGTCTTTACATAACCCCATATTTCTCAGAGGTTTTGTTCATTCCTTTTCATTCTTTTATTCTATTCTTATCTGCCTGTCTTATTTTAGAAAGATATTCGAGCTCTGAGATTGATTCTGCTATTGATACTTGTGATTGCATTGTAAATTTCTTGTGTTATGTTTTTCAGCTCCATTAAGTTGGTTATATTCATCTGAAAACTGACTGTCCTGGCTATCAGCTTTTGTCTTGTTTTATGATGATTCTTAGCTTCTTTACATTGGGTTACAACATGCTCCTTTAGCTCAGCAAAGTTCATTATTACCCACCTTCTGAAACCTACTTCTGTCAATTTAGCCATCTCAGCCTCAGTCCAGTTCTGTGCTCTTCCTGGAGAGATGTTGTAGTAATTTTGAGGAGATAAGGCACTCTGGCTTTTTGAGTTTTCAGGGTTTTTGTGTTGATTCTTTCTCATCTTTGTGGGGTTAACTACCTTCCATCTTTGAAGCTGCTGACCCTGGAATGCGGTTTTTGTTGTTTTCTGTTTGTCTGTTTTTCTTTTAACAGTCAAGCTACTCTACTGTAGGACTGCTGCAGTTTGCTAGGGGTTCACTGCAGACCCTAGTTGCCTTGTTTTTTCGTGTGCCTTGAAGTATTATCAGTGAAGGCTGCAAACCAGCAAAGATTGTAGCCTGCTTCTTCCTCTGGAAGCTCAGTCCCAGGGAAGTACTGACATGTTGCCAGCCCAAATTGTACCTAAAGGAGGTGGCTGGAGACCTCTGTTGAGGAGTCTCATCCAGTCTGGAGGAATGGGATCAGGGACCTGCTTTAAGAAGCAGTCTGGCTGTTTTTCGGTAGCAGAGCTGTGCTGTGTTGTGGGGGACCCTTCCTCATCTGGGCTGTCTGGACTCTCCAGAGCTGCCAGGCTGGAACAACTGAATCAACCAGACCACAGAATAGCAGCCACCCCTCTCACCAGGAACTTGGTCCTTCTCAGGCAGACTCCAGCCTATTGCCACTGGCTGGCTAGAATTCTAAGCCAGTAGGTCTTATCTTGTGAGGTGTTTTGGAAGTGTGTCCTGCAGAATGATGCTGCTCAGTTCCCTGGACTTAGCTCCCCTCCTAGGGGTATGTAGGGATAGATCTCTCACCTTGCCAGAAATTCTGGGTCCAGAGTATAAAAACTCCTGGGTCTTTGTGTGTGACCCAGCAGCTGCTCTGCAGGGACTTCACACAGCTCTCTGTATCAGACCCAAGGCCCTGGGGGTATGGGCTTAGAAGGGGACCTCTGATCTGCTGGCTGCAAAGATCTGTGGGAGAAGTGTGATTTCCCAGGTGGGGTCACACAATCACTCACCACTTCCCTTGTCTGGGGGTGGTGGTTCCTTTGGCATTATGCCACTCCTAGGTGGGCCATCACCCCATCCTGCTTATCTTCATTCTCTGTGGGTCGAGATGTTTGCCTAGTCAGTCCAATGTGAGAACCTGGATATTTCAGTTGAAGGTGCTGAATTCACTCACCATTTTCATTTCTCTCCATGAGTGTTGCAGACTGTAGCTGCTTTTAACTGGCTGTCTTGGCCCAGTCCAAGGCTTTCTTTTATAATGTCCTCAGTTTATAGATGAGAAAATAAAAGCCTGAGAGATGACTATTTTGTTGAGACTTCCTTTGTTGGGAACACCTTTCCACCTCTTCTCAGCCTAGCAAGCCCCCACTCATTCTTCAAGGCACAGCTCAAATGTCCCTTTGTCTGAGAAGATCATCCCTAACTCTTCCAGGATGAGTCAGTTGCTAAGCCTGCACTTAATTCTTGTCTCTATTATAGCAATCAGAACAATGATCTGAAATATGGCTGAACATAAAAATCACCTGGGACACATTAAAAATCCCGATTCCTGGGCCTTGTCAGTCCTAATGGGTCAGATTCTCCTTAAGGGTTACCTGAGAGTTTGTGTTTTAAATAAGAATCAGAGGGGACTCTCATGATCATGTGATATAGAAAGCATTAAATTAAACTAGCATTCAGCTAGGATGGTTCTGGTTGCAAGTAAGTAAAAATTTATTTCAGACTGGGTTAAGCAATGAAGTAATTTATTAGCTCAGATAACATTAAGTCCACAGGCAGAACAAGAAGTCTTCAGTTTGCTTAAACCAGCTGCTTATTTGTATCACCTAGGACACAGTATCCTTCCCATGCTCTACTCTGTAGTTGGCAGATTTAACATCATTCTAAGGTAGTGTACTTAAGGGCATTAGATGACCTCTTCAGCCCAAGAGGGCATTTTTCCCATAAGTGTTTAAAATTATTCCTAATGTTTTAATTTTCAATTTAGCTTAGACTTAAAGCTCGATCCCTGAATTCATCAATAGCAGGGGTCTGGGGTGGTGGAATGAAGGACAAAATAACTGTAATTGGCTAAGAATAATCAACTATGGTAAATAAGCCATAAAATGCTTTAGGAGATAAATAGATTTATTTATGTACATCTGGTTCCCTCCACTAAACCAGTTTTAACTGAAGTCAAGAATCATGTTGTATATACTTTTATATCTGTAACTCTTAGCACAGTAGGCACTCAGTGTTTACTGAATGACTGTTGTAATGAATCACATAGCTTGGTGGAGCTGAACTGGTAGACCCAAGTGGTTTGACTCCCATATCCTTGTCCTTACCTATACACATGGTATATTAGTCAGGGTTTTCCATAGAATAAGCCAATAAGATAGATAGAAAAATAGATAGATAGATAGACAGACAGATTAGATAGATAGATAGATAGATAGATAGATAGATAGATAGATAGACAGACAGACAGACAGACAGAAAGATAAGGGACTTATTAGGGGAATTGGCTCCCATGATTTTGGAGGCTGAGATGTCTCATCACAGGCTGTCTGCAAGGTAGAGAACCAGGGAAGCCAGTAACAGGGCTTAGAAAAAGTCCAAAGGCCTGAGAACTAAAGAAACTGATGGTGTAATTCTCAGTCCAAGACCAAAGACTTGAGAGGCCTGGGAGGCTAAGGGTGTAAGTTTCAGAGTTCAAAGCTTGAAGAACCTGGATTTCTGATGTCCAAGGACAGGAGAAGAAGAGTGTCCCTTTCCTGAAGAGAGAAAGAGAGAATTGATGCTTTTTCCACCTGTTTGTTCCATCAGGGCCCCAAGCTGATTGAATCATGTCCATTCACATTGAGCACAAATCTTCCCCACTCAGTCCACCAACTCACATAACAATCTTCTCTTAAAATACCCTCAGAAGTACACCCAGAAACAATGCTTCACCGGCCATCCAGGCAGCCCTCTATTCAGTGAAGTCTACACCTAACATTAATCATCAAGTATGGTTACAGAGAGGAGTTTCTTTAAGCAAGCTTCTAATGTAGGCAAAGTAGGGACATAGAAATAGTATTCAGGGCAGGCCTCCTTGTTCAGTTATTCCCCCACTAAGCCTGGCAGTACATGTGATAAAAGAACTTCTCCATTTAAAATGTTCAGGAATAAAATTCATTGAAATATCAGGGTACTCATCTGTACCTCTTCCTTCTGATTCTGCCTTTGCAATGGACTTTATAATCACGTATGTGTTAATCCGAACACTTCTTAAGAGGTAATCATAATAACTCGCCTAGATCTAATGTTGTAGAGAAACATTTTATGGCCGTAGGATACATTTTCCCAAGTTATTAAAGCCCAATTACATCATGTTTTCTTCCAAGGAATGCCAAGTACTTGAGGGACAATATTGTAGTCACTCTCACTCGTGTCTTGGAAATAATTACACAGATATAGCAGATAAAGTCCTCTGCCCTTCCTCTCAATGAAATGGAAAATTGTACTTACTTGCCTAAGATCACACAATAGAATTAAGAGAGGGAAAAATTGGGATGATAATGCAATTTTTCTCTTTTGCGTTAGCTAATACACATAGCCTTCTTTATGAAAACGTTAGACCTATATATTGTGCTTTTGATTAAGAAACTATCATACTGAGTGGTCAAGGGAGGTCATGAAACTTAAGACTTTCTAAATAAAATTCCTGGGCTATATCATGATTCGTATCACAATTGTTAGCCTTAAACCAAGCAGTGTGTTGGAATTAATACAAGCAATAATAATAATAGAGTTTATTATTTATTATTATTGATTATAATTTGGGTACATTAAAGGTATTTTTTGATAATTCATATCAACCCTATAAGTTGGACTCTATTTTGCTTTTTAGAGATCTGATACTCAGAGACTACTAAGATGTAGAACGATGTACAGCTAGGAAGGGGTAGCTCCCAGCATCAAATCAAGTGTGTCTATGTTCAAAGCCTATGACTTCTCTGCTACCCCAGGCTGCTCTGGAATAGATGAGCTGGGAATTCAGCATAACTCCACTTTGTTAAATTTAAACAAGTCATTAATGTCTCACTGAGTGAACTTATTTAAATGAGGACAATATTTTCCCCTCCAAATTCTGCAGTCGGGTAACCTCATGTAACTCTTCTAGAAGGCATGCGTAAAATAAGGGGCAAGCCCTTGTAACCAACTGGACCCAGATCAAGTGTCTAATAATTGTCACAAGATCACCTGCATGGGTCTTGGAACCCTTCCTACTTATTTATTCAACCAGAATAAATCTTCAAGAGTCTTGTAAAAAATAAAAAATTAAAATTAAAAAAAACTTCAAAAACAAAATAAAAAATAGTTTATTCTTTTGCTCTAATGAGGTTAGGTATTTTTAACATTGTTAAAAATATTTGAGTCACCTCTAAACAGCAGCAATTTCAGCTTTAGTTGCTGAAAATAAACCAGGACCCCAGTAAGCACACAGCTTTAAAGCTCCATAAAGCCCCGGACTTGGGATGTGCTCAATGCCAATGGAAAATTCAATGAAAAATAACAGAGACCAGGGCTGGCTTCGTTTCATCTAGCCTCCCTGTCTTGCCAGACCTTTCAGATAACAGAGCAGGCATATTTAAATTTGAAAGTTTTTTATGATTATTTAATAAAATGAGGATGAAGTAAGCAAATAACTGTTGAGAAGTAACATTTAATTTCCAAGAGTGCCCTGAGAGACATATCATGGAGTGAAGCCATTGCAATTACTTGGAAATTGATTGTCAGAAATGTTAAACTGATTCAGGCTACAGGAAAATACTCAACAGTATTATGAAGTAGATATCAGTAGCCCTGGTCAGAAAATAAGCATTGTTGCAACTGCATCCAGGACAAGGTTGAAGATTTGAAATTCCAAGTCAAAAACAAAACATTGAGCCAATTATCTCTCAACTCAGAAACTTACAGCATCAAAGAGCAAAGCTGGAAAGAGATTTTTGAGATGCCCTCAAGGGCAATCATCTCTCTCTAGGTAAGGATATATCTCAGCCATACGGAACTGATGGATTTTGATGGGTATTTAATTTCCGGTTTCACTTTTTATTTAGCTTCTAGCTCCCTATCTAGTTTGCTGTACTGCTCCAGATGCCAAAAATAATTTTTTTTATTGACCACACTGGACATATTTAGGATGGGATTTAAAAGTGGCTCCTCCTCCATTTAGCACCAATACTATAATGGAGAAAAGGGCAGGATACAGCCCAGATCACAATCAGTATTCCTTCCCTTACCACTCAATTCCCCATCATTCTATTTGCATCAGTGGTACATAAGTTCCTCTCACCAGCTGACTGTGAACATTTCCTTCTAGTAAAATGATTGTGTCTTAGTTAATGTTGTATCTTTACCCTTTTCCCCACTGAACCATACATTCAGTAATTAAGGTTAAATATATTTTCTTAAACATTTACAAGTATAATCCTTTGTATTTTACCCTCCAATGTAGGAAAGTACCCCAGAAAAAAATATGGAAATGAGAAAAATGAAGGAATTAGCTTTATGTTACTACATTCTTGTTGGTTTTTTTTTTTTTTTAACCTTGGTTGGGTGGAATAATGAGCAGATAAGCAAGTGTGTGTGTGTGTGTTTGTGTGTGTGTGTATAAATTTGTGTATACACACACACACATATACACACAAAAGTACTATAAGAAACTAACATGAAGGGTCACCTTTATGTTAGTTTAGCACGGCAATTTAGCACAGCATACCTGAGCCTATTCTCCTTCTCAGCATTTATATTTCTAAATAGTTATCTCTATTAAGAATTAGAGATAGTAGCCTCCTTTTATAAACCTCAACAGAGGAAAAATAAATTGGCTATTTTTTTCTTAGGTTTCATGGTGAGATAGCTCTATGGAAAGTAAATGGAATACGTACCAGCTTGTTCTCATCTTCAAAACTTTGATGACTCTTTTTATATATTTTCTGCAAAGTAATTAAAGTCCAATTAATTGGAAAAATATACACAATGGGCATTCTGAATATAATATCTCTAATGTAAGCAACTTTTATTATCTTAAACAAGTAGCTAAGCCAATGTTGCAAGTTTAAATTTTGAGCTCCTAAGCAAATATCTCAGAAAATACACTCTTGCACTTTGTTGACTACAAAATAAACTCCTCTCCAGTGGAGAGCTATCTCACCTCCTTTGGGAATCCATTACAGTGCAGTCAGTTTGGGTAGCATGCTGGTATATCCCTTTTTCCTATAATGACTGTACCCACAAACATGCTGAAAATGCAATATTTTTAAATGGACAGTAGAAGCTGACCACTGACAGGAATGCAAGGGGAATATTTTAGTGACATACAGAATTACCGAGTAATTTATCTGTTCTTTAAATTTGGACATTCACTTCCTAAGTGTACATAAATTTAGCTGTTGTTACACAATGTTCCCCCTTTCCCCCCATTCATATTCTACTTGTAAATAAGGCTGGCTTCTATTACCATTTCATATTCTCAATGAATCAACACAGTGAAGGTTTATTTTCTACTTACTCCCTAGTCCAAATTTAGATCGTGTGGGACTGGGCCTCTTCTCTGTGCGGCCATTCAGGGACTCAGGCTCCTCCCATGTGGTAATCTCCTTTAATACAGTTAGGGGTTGTCCTGACATCACCTAGCTGGCAGATGGGAAGAAGGGAGTGCAAAGACAAGGCAGGTTCTTATGTAACTTCTGCCACTGAACTGCAAGTGACAAATCACTTTCATTCATTATCTATGGCAAGAACTGCTGACATGGTCTCTCATATATATGAGAGAAGTTCACAAAATTTAGTTTATCTGCACTTACAAGAAGAGAAAAAATTGGTTTGGTGAACATTTAGCCAGACTCTGTTGCATTTTCTAGGCTTTGTCTCTGTTTGATCTTTTTATCTTTTGATAGATGTATTAGTCAGGATTTTCCAGAGACAGAATCAATAGGATAGGTGGATAGATAGATGAACAGATAGGTAGGTGGGTAGGTAAGTAGGTAGGCAGACAGATAGATGACAGATAGATTGATAGATAGATAGGAGATTTGTTAGGGGCTTGGCTTATGTCATTATGGAGGTTGAGGAGTCCCGTGATAGGCTATTTTCAAGCTGGAGAACCAAGGCAGCTGTAGCATAGCTTAGTCCAAGTCCCAAAGCCTCAGAACCAGGAAAGGCAATGGTGTAATTCTCAGTCTAAGGCTGAAGGCCTGAGAACCCAGGATGGGGAGCAGGAGGGTGGTGCAAGTTGTGAAGTTCAAAGGCCAGAGAACCTGTAGTTGTGTGGTCCAAAGGCAGGAGAAAAAGAGTGTCCCAGCTCCGGCAGAAAGAGTGAATTCACCTTTCTTTTGCCTTTTTCTTCTGCATGAGCCCTTAGCTGATTGGATGCACCCATCCATGTTGGGTGGTGTATTAGTTCATTTTCACCCTACTGATAAAGACATACCTGAGACTGGGCCATTCACAAAAGAGAGGGGTTTAATGGATTTACAGTTCCACATGGCTGGGGTGGCCTGACAATCATGGCAGAAGGCAAGGAGGAGCAAGTCACATCTTACATGGAGGGCAGTAGGTGAAGAGAGTTTGTGCAGGGAAACTCCTTATAAAAGCATCAGGTCTCATGAAACTTATTCACTATCATGAGACCAGCATGGGAAATACCTGCCCCCATAATTCAATTGTCTCCCACTTGGTTCCTCCCACAACACATACAAATTCATGATGAGATGTGGGTGGGGACACAGCCAAACCATATCATTCCGCCCCAGCACCTCCCAAATCTTATGTCCTCACATTTCAAAACTAATCATGCCTTCCCAACAGTCCCCCAAAGTCTTAACTCATTTCAGCATTAACTCAATAGTGCACAGTCCAAAGTTTCATCCAAGACAAGGCAAGTCCCTTCCACATATGAGCCTGTAAAATCAAAAGCAAGTTAGTTATTTCCTAGATACAATAGCGATACAAAAGCATTGGGTAAATACAGCCATTTGAAATGAGAGAAATTGGCCACAATGAAGGAGCTACAGGCCCCATGCAAGGCCAAAATCCAGCGGGGCAGTCAAATCTTAAAGCTCTAGAATGAGCTCCTTTGACACCATGTCTCACATCTAGGTCACTCTGATGCAAGAAGTGGGCTCCCATGGCCTTGGGAAGCTCTGTCCCTGTGGCTTCACAGGGTAGAGCCTCCCTCCCAGCTGCTTTCATGGGCTGGCATTGAGTGTCTGTGGCTTTTCCAGGTGCACAGGGCAAGCTGTCAGTGGTTTTATCATTCTGGGGGCTGGAGTCCGGTGGGCCTCTTCTCACAGCTCCACTAAGCAGTACCCCAGTGAGGACTCTGTATGGGGGCTCCAATCCCACATTTCTCTTCTGCACTGCCCTAGCAGAGGTTCTCCATGAGGCCCTGCCCCTGCAGCGAACTTCTGCCTGGGAATCCAGGCATTTCCATACATTATCTGAAATCTAGGCAGAGGTTCCCAAAGCTCAATTCTTAACTTCTGTGCACCCACAGGCTCAACACCATGTGAAAGCTGCCAAGGCCTGGGGCTTCCACCATCTGAAGCAATAGCCTGAGCTGTACATTGGCCCCTTTTAGTCATGGCTGGAGTAGGTGGAATGCAGGGCACTGAGTCCCAAGACTGCACATAGCACAGGGACCCTGTACTGTGCCCATGAAACCATTTTTTCCTCCTAAAGTACCTCTGTACCTGTGATGGGAGGGGCTGCTCCAGAGGTCTCTGACATGCTCTGGAGACATTTTCCCCATTGTCTTGGTGATTAACATTCAGCTCCTTGTTACTTATGCAAATTTCCATAGACGGCTTGAATTTTTCCTCAGAAAATAGCATTTTCTTTTCTATTGCATTGTCAGGCTGCAAATTTTCCAAACTTTTGTGCTGTTTCCCTTTCAAAACTGAATGCTTTTAACAGCACCCAAGTCATCTCTTGAATGCTTTGCTGCTTAGAAATTTCTTCTGCCAGATACCCTAAATCATCTCTTTGAAGTTATTGTTCCACAAATCTCTAGGGCAGGGGCAAAGTGCCATCAATCTCTTAGCTAAAACATAACAACAGTCATCTTTGCTCCAGTTCCCATGAAGTTCCTCCTCCCCATCTGAGATCACCTCAGCCTGGATTTCATTGTCCATATCATTATCAGCATTTTGGTCAAAGCCATTCAACAAGTCTCCAGGGAGTTTAAACTTTCCCATATTTTTCTGTCCTCTTCTGAGTCCCCAAACTGTTCCAACCCATGCCTGTCACCAAGTTCCAAATTTGCTTCCAAATGTTGGGTATCTACAGCAGTGTTCCACTTTATTGGTACCAATTTACTGTATTGGCCTATTTTCATACTGCTGATAACGTCATACCTGAGACTGGAAAGAAAAAGGTTTAATGGACTTACAGTTCCACATGGCCGGGGAAGCCTCACAATCATGGCAGAAGGCAAGGAGGAACAAGTCATGTCTTACATGGATGGTGGCAGTCAAAGAAAGCTTGAGCAGGGAAACTCCTTCTTATTAAACCATCAGGTCTCAAAAGACATATTCATGGTCATGAGAACAGCATGGGAAAGACCTGCCCCCATGATTCAATCACCTCCCACTGGATCCCTCCCACAACACATGGGAATTCTAGAGGAGATCTGGGTGGGGACAGAGCCCAACCATATCAGGTAGAAGCAGATCTTCCTTACCCAGTCTACTAATTCAAATGCCAATCTCTTCTGGAAGCACTCTCACAGACGTACTTAGAAATAATGCTTTACCAGCTTTCTGCATATTTCTTAATCCAGTCAAGTTGACACCTAAAATTAACCATCACATCTTCCCTCCTTCACTCACCAGACAAACCTATCTTGAGCAACGAATAATCCAAATTTTCTTCTTTATGATTTCCATTATTTCTCCTTATAAAGGCTGCAGAGATTTAGTTTCAGATTCAACAAATATCATTCAGAGTCCACTATCATGGCAGATTGTTACAAGGAATTGCCATATACATTAGGCTATTTAATATAGAAACAAGCATTGTAATGCCAGCTTTAAGATGAGAAATCTGAGGCCCAGGAACTGACTAAACATACAGAGGTAATCCATACAGTCAGCATTCCCATTTGCTCCTGTGATGGAGTCACTTATATATCTAACTGAACTGATTCTTCCACCAGCAAACATTTTATATCTTTTTGGTGCCCAGTTATTTTCTTTTATTATTATTATTATTATTATTATACTTTAAGTTCTAGGATACATGTGCACAATATGCAGGTTTGTTACATATGTATACATGTGCCATGTTGGTGTGCTGCACCCATTAGCTGGTCATTTACATTAGGTATATCTCCTAATGCTATCCCTTCTCCCTCTGCCCACTCCACAATACGCCCCAGTGTGTGATGTTCCCCTTCCTGTGTCCAAGTGTTCTCATTGTTCAATTCCCACCTATGAGTGAGAACATGCGGTGTTTGGTTTTTTGTCCTTCCGATAGTTTGCTGAGAATGATGGTTTCCAACTTCATGTCCCTACAAAGGACATGAATGCATCCTTTTTTATGGCTGCATAGTATTCCATGGTGTATATGTGCCACGTTTTCTTAATCCAGTCTATCACTGATGGACATTGGGGTTGGTTCCAAGTCTTTGCTATTGTGAATAGTGCCACAATACATATACATGTGCATGTGTCTTTATAGCAGCATGAATTATAATTTTTTGGGTATATACCCAGTAATGGGATTGCTGGGTTAAAAGGTATTTCTAGTTCTAGATCCTTGAGGAATGGCCATACTGTCCTCCACAATGGTTGAACTAGTTTACAGTGCCACCAATAGTGTAAAAGTATTCCTATTTCTCCACATCCTCTCCAGCACCTGTTGTTTTCTGATTTTTTAATGATTGCCATTCTAACTGTTGTGAGATGGTATATCATTGTGGTTTTGACTTGCACTTCTCTGATGGCCAGTGATGATGAGCATTTTTTCATGTGTC